GAGATGATTTCAACTGCCGCCAGGAATTCAAATCATCCAGCCATAGTCTACCAGCTCGCTACTCAGGGATTCTGACGAAGAAGATGTGGCGCACTGTCAGTGAGGATTGGCTTCGAACCTCATACGGGGCATGGCAATGGATGATTCAATACTGCGGGCAAAGGCTTGCTGACCAAGGTGTTCGCCTGGAGGCCAGGGAAGTGACGAAAATGACCAAAATGATGTGTAGCAAATGTTTTTGTGTCAGTTGAATTACCCGTCAGGATGGTCTTCTGAACCGCCTTGCTTTTCAAGGGCAAGTGATTGAAGTCAATTGTGTCTATCTACTCATTTTGGGCAATTTGAAGTGGCAAGCCCTTGCTTGGCCGTTGAAGCTTGTGGACGCTGCTGATGATGATTATCGCATGATGCGATGGGTTTTGGATTCGTCGTCAAGTTGTCAATGGCTGCAATGCTCTCTGAACATGCCAGCTTTTCAAACAAAGCTAGTCTGGAGCAATGAGTTTGGCATCCACTGGCAACAGGTTGGGCCTCCTGAAACATTTGCGCGGAATTGCTTGCGGCGCTCCAATGGCCTGACATTCACAGATCTTTGCTTGATGGGGAGGCATCTTTTTGGCTCCGAAATCAAAGAGAAGTCTAGGAAGGACATCCTTTTGAAGCTGGCGTTGCATTTCGGAGATGACTTTGCAGAGCTGGTCTTGGAGTGCGACTCTAAGACGACAAAGAAGTCATCATCTGATCCAGATCAAGCAGCTTTGGTAAAAGCTGTGTTTGACCACTTGGACGCGGATGAGCAGAAGGAGTTTCGCTCTGTCAAGGAGAATGTCTACAGGGAGGAGAAAACTCAGAAGCAATTGAAGTGGCGCAAATTGCTCAACGAAAAAATGGAGGAGCAAGCAGCAACTTGGATGATTAAAATGTTTAATGTTGCTGGTCTGGCTAGTTTGTTCCAGCTGCATTTCAATTTTTTCATTTTTTTCCAAGACAGGCATGTTATTGCATCTACGTTTTTTCCACTTCCAGGAAAAAGCCAAGAAGAAGGCTGCCAAAGGCAAAGGCAAATCCAAAGCCAAAGGGAAGGTGAAGGGAAGAAGCAAAGGCAAAGGAAGAAGTGGCCGAGGCTCAGGAAAAGGGGCTGCAAGCAGTAGTGGAAGAAAAAGGAAGAGGGAAGCTGATGACGAGCGACCAGGCAAGGAAGCAAGCGATGCTGTGAAGATGGAAGACGAAGAGGATTTGGAGGAAGAAGAAGCTCAAGTCAATTTTGTCAATTCAGGCAATTGCGTCAATTCAGATGTGGAGGACCCACTGCCAAATCCTTCTCCAGGTGAAGCAAACGAAACTGAACGTGCTGAAGCAGCAGCTGAACTTGCTGAGGAAGCAGCTCCTCCTGCTGAACTTGCCGAAGAAGCAGCTCCTGCTGCTGAAGTTGCTGAAGGAGCTTCTCCTTCTGAAGTTGCTGAAGGAGCTCCTCCTGCTGAACTTGCTGAAGCAGCAGCTCCTCCTGCTGAACTTGCCGAAGAAGCAGCTCCTGCTGCTGAAGTTGCTGAAGGAGCTTCTCCGTCTGAAGTTGCTGAAGGAGCTCCTCCTGCTGAACTTGCTGAAGCAGCAGCTCCTGCTGCTGAACTTGCTGAAGCAGCAGCTCCTGCTGCTGAACTTGCACCCCCGGCTCAACCGGCTGAGCCAGCTCGGCCAGCGCCTGTGCCTGGCAGAGATGTCGGGCCTCGAGTGCACTCAACACCTGCCCTCCTCAGAAGCATTGAGCCCAACAGTTGGTTCAAGTTGAGGCTTGACAAGAATGCGCACAGGTTTCAAGTCGAGATGGACAAGAATAGAACGGTTCAACATGAGCTGTGGGATTCAACCCAGAGACAAATGTATTATTCCAGAAGTTTCAAAGCAACAGGTGACTGGAAAACCGCACTTCAAGAAGTGCACACTTGGATGTGGGAAAAGTTCGTCTTGGCTGGGTTGGAATTGGGGCCTGGAATCCGAGATCAAATTCCAGGAGAAGTCCCAGATGAAGTTTTTGAAGGCCTCAAGGATGAGATGCGTGCGCTGCCACCTCCTAGGAATTATAACAGGAGAAAGTAGAAGAGCGCTGGGATGACAAAGTCATCGCCTTAGGGCCTTGGTAAGACGCTCTGGTTGAAGCAAGTCCTTCACCTGATGCACTTGCAAAATCGCAAGAAGATGCTCTGTTTAAAAGGGAATCAAATAATCCTGTCACATGTTGGGCTGCTTGTGTTTATTGTGAATTGACTCAATTGATTGATTTGTGTGGTATTGCAGCCTGAGGGTTGCACCTGGATGGTATTTTTTCAATGCTTTGTCAAATGTTGGGGCCTGCTTGTCATGTGTCATTGTGAATTGACTCAATTGACTTGAACCAGATTGATTTGTGTAGTGGCCAGTGGTATTGAAGCTTGAAGTTTGTGCCGGGATGGTCTTTCAATGCCAATGCAGGCTGCCAGATTCATCATCAGGCCAAGGACTCAGGAAGCCTTTACTTTTATACGCAGGGTCAGAAGCCTTGGACTGGTATTGTTGTCAGTGAAGAAACCAAACAAAAGTGTGGACTGGATTGATTAATTCTTTTACCGCAGGTTTTTTGGCCCATGAGCACATTTGTTGGTTTTGCCATTTTGGTCATTTGTGTCAATTTATTCATCATGGACCAGCAAGCTGGCCTCGCGTTTCTTCCGGTGATGGTGCTGTCCACTGTGACAGCCAGTGCCAGCCTTCAAGGCCCAAGTGCAGCTTCAGAAGATGACGATCAAGAGAAATGGCTGGATGACAAGCTCCAACAGATTTCTTCGTTAGATTTCTATGATTTCTTGGCCTTCAGCAAATTCAATAGGCGCTGATGCTGTTTTTGTTCTTGGAAAATTGAGACAACATGCATTGAAATTGAAATCATTCTTTGATGATCAATGAATAACCTCGAAGTCCATTTTGTTAATTGCCCTGCAGGCGTGTCGACTGGCCAGAAGGACTGCATCATGTCAAGTCCACATGTCAAGACTTTCTTGATTTTGACCAAGAGAATGGCGGCAGGGCCTCGAAAGTGTGGCCTTCATTTTTGTGTGAAGCATATCCTTTTTTGCGCGGCGCAACATCGTGCTTGGAGATGATGGTGCTGGTTGCTGAAAGGTTTCTTTTCAATTTGGTCAATTTCAATGAATTGGATCAATTGGAATTTGTTGAGTTTTGTGCTGGCCGAGCCCATCTCAGTCGAGAGATGCTGCGTCAAGGATTTCACCAAGGAGCTTCTGTGGACATTCTTTTTCATCCCCACCATGACATGTTGAGTTCCAAGGGGCTGAGGACTTGGTTTGACATGGTAGTGGCTTCTCGGCGAAAGTCGTTACACTGGTTTGCTACCAGATGCTCGAGCTTCGTCCCGCTCTGTATCTCTCAAAGCATCAGATATGAGGAGAATTCATTCTACGGGGATAGAAGCAGGCCATGGGTGGAGCAGGGCAACCTTCAACAGGAAGTAACTGCAATGATGATGTTCTTCAGTTTCCTCTTGGATTGCATTCCGGTGTTGGAGCAACCCACAGGGAGTGTGCTTCCAAAACTACCATCCCTTCGTAATGTTTTGTGGTTCTTCGACTTCAAGAAGACAGTGACCTACATGGGAAGCTTTGCTGGCCCAACAAGCAAGCCTCTCCAGATCTGGCATCCGTCTTCAGGGCCTGGCTCCCTATTTGCAGCCATCGCCAGGCCAAGGCCAGATGGCTTGGACAATTTGGCTTCCAGTGGCCAGAGCTGGGATGGAAGCCACACTTACACTGGCAATAAGGAGATGCTCATGCAAAGCGAGCACTACACGCCAGAGTTTGGCGCTTGTGTCGCCCAAATCTACGAGCAGATTCGAGCTTCGTGAAAACTTCACAACGCTCAATTTGCTCAGCGTTGTCCATTCAAAAGTGTCTTGAATGCGACAAGAGTACTATAGCCCAAGGGTTCTTTTGTGCTGACTCACCTGAGTGGTGCGTCCCTCTGTCAACTTTGACCGTCTCTGTGGGGTCAAGAGGCAACATGGCATTTGCTCCAGCAAAAAAAATGCGCAATCAGTGACAGAGCACTGCAAGTTCAGCGCTTGCCATCTCATGTGCTTCAGTCAATTAGCTCAATTGAGTCATTAGCCCTTTGGCTTTTTGAAATACTTCAAATATGTGTACTGAGGTTGGAATTGTTCTGCTCCGCTACCAAGCTTGCTCCGCTACCAAGAGTTCAATGCAGGCATGCTTGACTTCTTTGACATTTATTAATATCACTTCCCATTCGCATTCCCAAAGCAAGACTCAAGAACCAGATCAGGTCTGGATGACGCTCTAGGCCTGCCTACTGTTTGTTGCTGGTCCTGCTTGCATTTTTTCAAAAGTAATTCTTAATAACTTGCTTGCAGGCTCGGCGAGAAGTGGCAATTGGATCAATTGACTTCAGCTGATTGTGGCACTTGAAACAATTGACTGACTGACTAATTGAGTTCAGCTTCTCATCTTCATTCTTTTAATTTTATTTTTTAAAATTTTTATTTTGTTTAAATTTTTGACATTTTTTAAAAATGTTTGACAGAATTGACCGGTTCAATTGACAAAATTGACACAAGTCACACACATGATCGAAGCAATGACATGATTTAATTCACGCAGGTGAGGTCTACAATAACACAACCGCAGGTAAACGTTCAATCAACGTTTTACCATATTTTAGATTTTATCTTTTTGAAAATATTTTGTTTTTTTTTAAAATATTTTGTAAAAAAAATGAAACCACATTTGTTTGCACAACGTTCTGGACAACAAATTAGTCTACCAAAATTCAGATTAGCCTACCTAAATTTCAGAAATGCCTATGTCATTTTCAAATCACCTAGGCATTTCTGAGATCAGGTAGGCATTCCTGAAAATCATGAACGGGCAAACCCCTACAAACTAATACCCTACGATCTGGGATGCATTCTTAAGTTAGTGATCTTTGATGGCAGGATGCGGTCCATACGGCGGATTAGCGTGCCTCGGTTCAGCACTGCCATCTTTTAGCTTTTCCTGTTCCACACGCTCTCACTGACCCATAATTCTTTTACCTTCACTTGTTTGCGCTTTGCTAGCTTTATTTCACGTCAGGAAGATTTGCTTCTGAGCCTGCCACAGACGGAGGAGGTTGCTGTCATCTATTCCGGCGGCTGCCTTGCTCGAGCTGGACGGATGAGGCGGATCCCGTTTAGTGCGAAAAAGCTTGAATCAGGCGTTCTTCGCTTTCCTGTATCCCGTAGCCGTCTGAAGACCTGCAAAAAGCAATCTTTCAACTCCTGTGGGGAAGCTACCAACTTTCAGCCAACCTTCAGCGGCGTGGCCTTCCGCCCTCTAAAGGAACTTCCCCTGATCAGCTTTGAAGAGAAGAAAAAGATCCTAGGTTCTGCGGTCCCAGCACCAGACGAGTACCGAGAAAACCACCATGATGATCAGCCGTTGTTTTGGCAGGAGAGCAAGCCCATTGCTTTGTGGTTGGCTTTGCTGGATGAACTTCGAATCCAAAGCGTCTTCGACGTGTCCGCAGGAAGTGGGGCCCTGATGGAAGCATGCCTCACACGGGGAATTCGGTATCACGGCTTGTGCATCAACAAAGAGCACATGTCCTGGGTCCAGGCAATTGCCGACAGGGCTGCGTGTGGGTTGATTTCGGTCCAAGGCAGCACATTGTTTTCTGACGATCTTGCCAAAGCAGTCAAGGAGCGGTTCCCTGAAATCCTGCAGGCATTGGCTTGTGATGCTGATGAGGTTGAAATTTTGGAGCCTGATAGTGACGACAACTAGGTTTGCGCGGTTTTTGCTGTGTCCGTGGCAGGGTCCTGCGGTCCTGCGGTCCACGAACGGCAAATTTTGATCATGTGGCTAACAGCTTCTTTTAGCAATTTGATCGCAAAAAAATCGCCAAAAAGGAGCTGTCCAAGTTGAGGCTATTTTGCAGCCAAAGGAAGCTTCAATGCACAGTTTTGTTAAATCCTGCGTGAAAGTTTGCTTTACATGTATTTTAGCTTCATCCCTTATTTGCATTTGCCGTTGCAGCAATTTCTACAGCCGTTGCCATTGTTAGGTCCTGGCGGTCCAGCGGTCCTGAGTAGCCATGGCAAAAGCTGTGCCCGCAGTTCGGCTTCGTGGCAAGCAGCCATGCCCTCAAAGAGTGAAGAAGAATGGCCAAAAGTCAAAGGGCAAGCAGACCAAGCCAAAACGAGACACGATTCGATGTCAAGCGTTGAAAGATGGCTTGTTGCCACCTGCTAGAAGGCCTTTTGCCCTCTTTGTCAAGGACAACGTGCGTGGGCAGAAAGGAGGTGGGAGAAGCGAATGGCGGCTTGAGATGAAGCGCTTGGGGGCCATGTGGCACAAGTTACCCATTGACCAGAAGAAGCGCTACTTTGACCAATCCAATGCCGAGTTTGCCAAGCAGCATTTTGTGATGAAGCAGATGGGCATGCCACTGCGAAAGTCAAGCTCGCGAACAACTCACACGCTGGCAAAGGACGTGCTTCCAGAACCTGAAGATCCTGTCATGATCGGAGGCTACAAGGTGGTGAATGCGGATCCTGGCCTTCCTGATTGCCATCCCCTAGGTGAAGGCGCTTATGGCAGCGTTTTCCTTTGCTTAGACAAGCTTCAACGAAGATGTGCTGTGAAGGTCTTCAAGAAGAAGAGCGCACTCGAGGATCTCAACCATGAGCTCGTCCTTTTGCAGGCAGTGCAAGAACAAAGCGACCAGAAACTCCGAGGATTTTACCCCTGCATTTTGGAAGCACAGCCCTGTTTCAAGCCTTTTCCATTTTTGGCTCTTGAATATTGTGGCTCCAGCTTGTTTTCTTTGCTTGGGGAAAAAGGAGCTTTTAGCGTAGATGACAGTCGCGCCATCGCTTTGCAGCTGAAAGCTGCAGTGCGTGGCTTGCACTCATTGCAGATTTTGCATTTGGATTTAAAAACAAGCAATGTGCTTTGGTGCGTTGTCCGGCGTGAGCTCAAGTTGGCAGACTTTGGGATGTCTGAATATATCCCAGGGTATGGTCGTTCAATTCGTTTTCCCATGTATGTAACAGCAAGTTACCGAGCCCCAGAATTGTGGCACGCTGCTCAAAGGGACCTTTCCAAGTGGTTGGGGCCTGCAGTCGATTTATGGTCGTTTGGTTGTGTTCTCTATGAGGTTGCAGTTGGAAAGATCCTTATGCGCCCTTATGCGCCCACTGCGCAACAACCTTTGTGGTTGTGAGAACACCATCAAGGAGTGGTGCCAGCAGTGGCAATCCTTGCAGAAATCATTGCAGGGATCAATAAGACCAAGTCTTTCAAATGCACAGGTCAGCCGAAATTTTGACTATCGGCTGGTGACTCGTTTGCACTTGCTGGAACCAAGCTTCAGGCCAGCAATCAAGGCTATGCTCAACCCGGATCCTGCTCAGCGAGATTGGGCAGGCATTGATTGAGCTAAATCTGTAGGGTTTCTAGGGGCATAGAGACCTGCTGTGCGGATGATGGGGTAACTCATCCTGGCGGTTCAGCGGCCCAGATTGCGAAACAGCGACTTCCATCAGCTTTCTGGAGAAACAAATGTGCTCAGGGAGTGCAAGTCATGAGCGCATCGATCTGGTATCCATGTCATTGTGTAGGAAGTTGAAACCAGCACCATTTTGCACTTCATATTTGCCACTTCCTGGCGGCTGAGGTCTTGGTGCAAACGGATGGCGCATGTGCAAGACAGAAAGAATGGCAGCGGCTTGAAATATACCCAAATCCCTTAATATTTTTCGGCACCGTTGAATTGCCAACCTAGATATATATCATAGTTGGTTGATTAGTACGTATGGAGGATTATCATCCAACTGGGAATGCCATTCTACCACAGTCGGATGATATGGGAATGGCTATAGTAGCTACAGTAGCTATAGTACCCATAGCAGGGGGGATGAACATCCAGGGAAAACCATAGGGAAGCCCATGGGAAAATGGGAAAACACAGGAAAACCCATAGGACAATGGAGGTTTACCCTCTGGTAAACTAACATAGCATAACATAGTTATGGAAAATCATCATTTTTAATGGGTAAATCAATTATAAATGACCGTTGACCATTTTCGATAGCTATGTTAAATTACCAGAGAGTACTCGCTTTTTGGGAGGCTTCACCGGGGTGTTTGGGTTTTGACCCACAGTCATACAAGAGCCATTGATCTTATTTAGAGGGGAGTTGACCATTGAATCTGTTTTTTTTCAGTAACATATGAGGATGTTGCTGAATGATGAATTTATTGATTGTCACAGGGGATTATTATTGTCCTGTTTTTTAATTCGGGATTAGTTTGACCTTTTTTGCGGGAATCCTATGGAATCCAATAGTCAACCAACCAGTGCCACTAAGGAATGACACTGTTTTTGTTGAGCCACGGAGCCACGTATGTTGAACATTTTCTCAAGTCAATCCATATGGGTGGCCACCACTCAACCTAAACCATCGAGTAAAAATCACAGTGATGTTTGGGTGATTTCCTCCGCATACTACCAGTGCCACTCCCATTTCTCAGCTATCATCGAGGGATGTTGGTCTGAATATGACAGATCTAACGCCACAAGGAGGGTTGCCACAAGGGGAAAAAGTAGCATTTCACCTTTTTACCCAGCTATTTTCCCCCATTGTATCTGGGTTGTTTTCGGCAACCCTGATAGACCGGACCCGGTAAATCAGAAAAACCATGAGTTTCTGGGATACCCATGGGTACCCTTTTTTCAAACAAACCCATGTCTATCTTGCAGCCTGAAATTCGGCTGAGGTTTGGATGGATGTGGACGACAACACCAGTTGGCACCGACGTTGGCAATATCCCAGAGGCGAAGTGTTTTTTTACGGAGCAACCTGTGGCCAGCCGATTCCACAAGGTGCTGTCCCCCCGTAAGTTCACCCCATCATCTTCATTTGGGTGAGATTCTGTCAGCATCACAACAGCCATGAATCAATGACTTTGAGACAACGGGCGTGTCTGAAAATGGGGACCAGTCAAATGGCCATTGTTTCATGTTCAATGGATTCAAAAAAATGGGTATGGGTCAATACCTGTAGATACATTTTTAGTGCGATGAACATCCATTTACCAGCTATTTTGGGGTTCACTAGGTACCAGGGTTTTGACCCATCCCCAAATGTCAGTTTCGCTATGATGTTCAGAGAATTCCACAGGGCTCTCCACGCGAAGGATGGAAACCCAGCCGCTACTTTTCTGACTTCATTTGGCCTGGGCACGAGGCGCGGCCATCCCAAAGGTCCCAGGTCGCCTTGCTGAAGAGCTGATACATATCGATTTACACCCAAAAATTGGACATGTGCTGGAAATATCATGAAATATCTTGTATGTTGTCCATTAATATATATATATATATATATATTATTATTATTATTATTATTATTATTTATTATTATTATTATTTATTATTATTATTATTGTTATTATTATTATTATTTATTATTATTATATATTATTATATATTATATATTATATATATATACTATTATTATTATTATTATATATATATATAATTATTATTATATATATATAATTATTATTATATATATATATAGATTATTATATATTATTATGTGTATATATATATATGTATTATTATATATTATTATATATATTATTATTTATTATTACATATATTATTTTATATTATTATATATATAATAATAATATATGTTTTTATTATATATATAATAATATATAATACATAATATATATATATTAATATATATATAGTATTATATATTATTATTATTAATATTATTATTATTAATTATTATTATTATATATAATTACCTTTATGTATTAGTATGTGTTTTGGACAAAATCCGCCGGAAATTTGACATATGTTGAAATGAAAGTTGATTGCACACACCAACACCCACCCAAAAATCATCAACTTCGTAATCACCTCATTGCGATGTTGGCCCGGCGGTCTTTCCATCTCTTGTCTACTTCCTACTTGTCTTAATCCTTGTCTCCCTTTGGGTGATTTGATGGGAACTATTGTATTCTCACATCTAGTTCATTGTCATCATTTAATACCCCGTTGTCAGACAAACCCGTATAGTATTTTGCTGTGTTCTAGTTGTTTTGCAGGGGGTCTGCAGAGACATTCAATCTCTTCAACATGGCAAACAAATCTAACAAACTACAATGCACCGGAAGAAAGACCTGTGTGGAAACAACGTGCATTCAAATTTGGCAAACAAGGTCTTGAGTTTTTGCAACAGTACATGGAATGAGTATTCCAGAACATTTAGCCGTGGATTCACAAAATCTAAGGGGGCAAGAAAAGCGCGCAAGCTTTGCACAGCTGCATGTTTTACTCGGGGCTGGAAAACTATGGAAAACTCAAATCCAACCAGGCTTGAAACAGGTAGATGGTGCCTGACTAAAATGTTTCTCACTTCACAATGTGTTTTCAGGATCTGTGCAGAACGATTTCTTGCAGTTTCCTAGTTAAAAAGAAGTGATTCTTTTTGGAAATCGTTCGGATATGGAGATTTGTTTGGTGCCCCTATGCCTATGATGAAATCATGCTCTTCTCATAAAATCGCAGGCATTTGTTTGGAGAAATCATCCTCCTTTCCATGGAATTGCAGACATTCTTGAGCCAAGTCAAGATGCCTCTGTACAAAGAAACAATAAGAAACATCTCATCAGGAATTACAGTGGAGCCATTCTTCAATTTACAGATTCTCTATTCCGTAGCATGTTTGGCTGTGTTGACCACTGAAAAGTGTCTCTTCACCTCG